ACAGGAAAGGAAATGAGAGGGGAAAAGGGGGAAGAGGGGAAGAGAGAAGAAGAAATAAAAGTAGCAGAGAGGAAAGGAAACCAGAGGACAGGAAAGGAAAGGAGAGAAGGTAGCAGGGCTTTTGATGAGTCTGAATAGGAGTCAGAGCTTTCAGTTTCTCATTTCATTGCCTTCTTTTTACTACTTTTTCTTTGAGCTGGAGCCTGTGACCTCCTGTCTGTCCCTTCCTCGCCCCTGCTCCCACAACCAGTGCTTAATCACTTCTAGTCTCATATAAAGGATGCAGCAAACTGACCATAAAGAGCTGGTTAGATGTTGCCTTTCAAGGATCAGCTTCTGATGGTACTTGCACAGTATTTTCTGTATGTTGCATATGCTAATATATCTGCAAAGAAACAGACATCCAGAAAAGTAGATCAAGAGTGCATGATAGATGTTTAACTCTCTATGATGTAATATGTTGTAGATGTTGTTCATGATTTCTAACAATATTTGTATAAAAAAAGGGGGAGATGAACAGCACTTTAGGAGATAAGACCTTTAGGCATACAATAAAAAAAACACTAGAATGAGAGTCAATTAACTCCTTAGTTGATCAATAGAAAATTAATAAACAGTTTTGATAATTTATTGACGAAGGACATTTTAGCAAGTAAAATTTCCTGTAAATGTTTGGCATTTACTGTTTGCCCGGCTTCTCAAATGTGAGAACTTTCTGATTTTATCTGCTTTATATCATTGAAATTCTTTAGATTTTGGACTGTTGTTTGGACAAAAACAACCAATTTGAAAATGCAACCTTGAGTTCGAGAAAGCTGCGCACTCTTCACCACGTTTTGACATGTTTTAGACCAAACATGTCAGAAATGGACATGTGGAAATAAATGCTGCTGGAAGCCCAAAACAACAGAACAAAGCATGACTAGATCATTTAATCATTTTCCTGTTCATGTGTAATGCAAGTATGCCACTTTATTCCATGCATTTTTGTAATTAAGAAACCATACAGAGCACTCCATACAGTTTCCCCCTCCTCCTCCTCCTCCTCCTTCTGCCTTCCTCCCCCTCCTTCACTTGCCCCAAGAAAAAAATGACAGTTTCAATCTATATAATCTCCCATTTGCACTCCTCTGCCAATATTTTAAGACTCACTGCCTCTAAAGCAGTCAGTCCTATCTGATCTAAAGCAGCCCTCTGTGCATTTAATTCTATTACTTTGTCTTTCTTGCTCAATAAATATTCTCTGTTATGCTGTCTTTGGTTGAGTTCAGTCATCTCCCATCTTCATTTTCCCCATTTCCCACATTTTCCTGCAGAGGGGTTCTGTAACCGACAACCACAACCATGAGCAAATGTGCTGAGCTGGGTATGACATTTGTTTAGAAACATATTTCTCCCATTACATCTACTTCTTTTTTTTCCCCCCCACTTACTCTCTTGGGCTTGTTGAGTGTCATAGGAGAATCATTTCCTACAAAGATTCATTTTCTACAAAGGGGAGGAATAAATGGAAGAGACCAAGAGCAGACAGTGAGAGATGAAGAGAAACTGAGATCATTTTAAAAAGAGGAAAAGCAAGAGAATAAGACATGAAGGGAAAATGTGTACTCGGGGTTGTAAAGATGTAATCCTGGTAGACTGAGAGAAAGACAGAGACCAGAGACTTAATTCACTCATGAGGGAAAAGGAAATCACTGCCTGATATTAAGAACAACATCTGGTGGGGAGAGCAACTCTGCACCGGGCCATAACAGACGCCATCCCTGCCACCTGCCACCAACACACACACACACACACACACACACACATCACTCTGTGTACAGGATGGACAAAGTGAGGAGAGACATTGGTTTCTGAGGTTTTCTGGTACCGATGTCCTCTACATAGAAAAACAGGAGTCTCGACAAAACTAGGCTTTTGTTTTGGGCCCCCGCTGTAATTATTTCAACTTTGAAAGAATTATACCTGGAGTTGCTTGTTGAACCAGTTTGGTTTGGGGAATGGCTCCAAATAATATACCCATGAACTTCAGTTATTGATACTATGGAGTAGAAGCCAGTCAGAAAAATTGCCACTAAATTCATCCAAAATTGACCCAGAGCTAAATAAAAAAAAATAAAATAAATAAAATTAAAAAAAAGAAAGAGTTGGCTGAAGCAAGACTGTTATGGCCAAAAGTAACTTCCAATAGTTAGGCTATGGTCTAGCAACCACAGCAAAGAAACATAAGCAAAGGAGGCTGGAGGCTATCGAGTGATAAAGTCCAGAGGACTTTCCCACAGTAGACTGGTATTTGATTCCTCTATGAAATGTTCATCCATGACTGCTCCACAACCTTAACCTCAACCTTATGTTTATTATTGTAGCCATAATGGCAAAGGTTATTTTAACACAAACCATAATATTTTTATAAATCTAACCAAGTTTGTGCCTAAACCAAATGCATAATCATAACTGTGTGTTTATGACTGTGTTCATTATGACGAAGGTCCGGTACGCTCGCTGATTGTTACCATGACAACAAAGGTCTGTAAGTGTGCTGCTGGAAGGGTCCTATAGGCGTATTCTAAGGTAGGGATAAGTGACGTATATTACTGTGTAAGTTGAAGTTTACACTGCTGAATGTATCTTCAGGTTTCTAAAAACTCCAGTTCTATAGCTCAGTCAATGTTTCTCTCCATTCATTCTTGTGTACAAACGTGGAACTATGACCAGATATGTTCTAACACAGCTGCTTTTGTAATGCTTCAACACAAAGTACTACCTACTGCTGTCTATGCACAAAATGAACAGTATGTTTAGCAACATAATAAAAACAACTCTCAGCCCAGATTAAGGCCAAAGTTTGACCCTCACAGTCCATGGTTGACTGGCAGCTGTCACTGCCCTGTATCCCCCTCCCCATCATCTGAACTACAGTGTCTCTTTTCCTCCCTCTCTCTTCCTTAATCTCTCTGTGTAACAACTGCGTGTAGCTTTGACCTTGAACCTGCTAATACATAATCAGTCATCTCCAGAAATATGCCATAACCCTCGCTCATCATCACGCTAGGCCAGAGCAAGGAAGAAAACTGCAGCTAGTGTGTCAAGCAGAGCAGAACTGAGCTGAGTTGGCATCAGGTTGCCTGGCCGCAGACAGGAGCCAAAACACTCTGCATGGAGGAGGTAAAGGAGTGGAAGTCCCACTGTGTCATATATAGTGACTATGCTGGTGTGGGGGATGGAGAGTGAGTAGTTAGTCACATAAAGGTGGGGTCTTGCTCAAGGGTATTCAGTGAAGAATCATGTATGGTGATGGGCTGGGGCATGTCATTTGTATTTGTACATGGACTGTTAGTTCAGAGAGAAATTCTTAATGATTGTGAATGTTAATTCACTGGTGTAATTAATGAACTGTCT